GGGGGGGCTGTCTGGCTACAGGCCTCTCAATTTATGGGCATTTCTGGAGTCCAAAAATGATGTGTGGTATGACTTCAGTTCTTGTCACATTTATGTTGGATTAGGGATGTTAGAGAGCGTGTCACTGAATAGTCATGTAACCATTAAAATTTGATGTGGTTACCCCACTATTTGATAGTTACCCCACTATTTGATAGTCCCTGGGTTTGGGGCCGGCAGTCAGTACACTGCTGGCCCCACTCCTGGGGAGCCATTTGCCCCCCGTGCTGCCCTCTCTGTTGCAAAGGCTGCAGCACGGGGTGGCAGGTGGGGCTGGTGTGCAAGGGAAGCCAGTTTAAAAACCAGCTTCCCACGCAGACCCAGCTCCCACTTGCTGCCCTGCGCTGCTGCCTCTGCTAAAGAGGCAGCAAAGGGGGGGGGGGAAAGAGGGGGGGGAAAATGCATGTAGTCGACAGGATTAAGTGATAAGCCCAGGCTTATGGGTTAATCATGTAGTCATCTACATGTTGACATCCCTATTTTTGATAGCACTAAACATTGTGACAACCTGCCCGGAGATGTCCAGTACCCAGGAAGGATGGGGACAAAAATCTGAGTTTTCCAAGGAAGTTTTGACCCTGCAGGTCAGGTATAAATTTATTAGCTGCAACAGTGCAGGAAAGTTTGTTAAAGGTAGCAGCATTCAGTACCTGTCTCTCCCCTGACATTGTTTAATTACCACCACTTCTGACCAAAAAAAAAAAAAGTTGTGCTGTGGAGAAAGGGGATCCTGAGTGATGCAGGAATATCTGGATGTTAAATATTGACAGTAGTCTCTGGATTTTGTCTTTATCTAAATTTGACTAGTGTGAATTTGATAAATGACTAGATTACACAATTTGAGTTGCCATTCTTGCTGGGACTGGAGGTGAGGAAGTAAAGTTGGTTTATTACTGAGCTTTGTAAAGTACTAGGCATGTGCAGTAACTAGTGTATTTCTGAATCAACCAGGCTTGTTCATGTTATAGCATGTGGGCTGTTGGACTTAAAAAAAGCATAATTTAAGAGGATTTCTTGGAATCTGTCTCAAAATGCATTGTGTTATCTCCCACACTCCCATCTGGGGAGTGTGAAATAGAAATAACTAAGTCAGCTTTACTTGCGTACTTCAACCAATTGCTTCTTGCTTTGGTTGGTATTTGAGGGTTGTGAGAAAAGTGGGTGACTCTTATATGCCCTGTTCCAAAATGCACTAGCAGTTTATATAAGAAGATAACTTCAGCCTTAAATACTCAGGAGCCAGAAAACCCAGGTTTAATTTAATTCTAATTTGTTGCTCCCTTGTTAGGGTTTGCATCTTTTGTGTGTGTGTGTCTTACAAGATAAAAGTTGTGGAAGATCTAGATGCTGATGGTCAGCCCAAGCGTAGTTTGGATTGGATGCAGATGTTCAAGTGGCTGAACATGTATTTTGAGAGGCAGCTAAAGTTCTAATGTGGTCCCAGAACATGGCTTGAAGGAAATAGAAAGGCTCTTAAGAGCCTCTTCTCTCCAACGCTCTGACAAACTTTTCAAATATTTATAAAATCAAACTGAAGATGTGCTGACCAAAACTAATTTTACTTTCATTTACCTGTGGTTTAAAGGTAACTGATGGGAAACTTTTCTAGCTATTGGTTCTAAGCTGCAGTTGCAAAGGTGATGCTCATTCTTGCATTTCTTATCTATTTTGTAACATCTCAGTATTGCTGGTTTCTTCTTCTATGCGGAACACTGCAACACAAATACTTTCTCTTCCTTCAGGGCTGAAAGTTTATTTATCAGAACAGTTGTTCAATACTGAAGGGGACAATTTTTTTTCTTAAAAGGAGCAAAAGAAGAGTGGGAAGCTACAAACACTTAAAAAAAAAAAATCCCAAACTAGAAATTTTGAATTGTTAACTGAAATATTTCTTGATGATCAGATTTAACGATAAACTAAAATATCAGCCTCGTTTATAAATAGTGGAGGTGTGAAGAAATAAAGTTAAATCTACTTGCATTTTCTTGCTGAAATTCAAAGCCTTAAGTATATACGAGACCTGAAGAGTAGCTTTCAGCCACGTTCATGTAGTTTGCTAATCTAGTTCTCCTCTCTCTTTGCCTGGGCATCTTTTCCAAAATGCTGGTGGTTGCTTCTCACTTGTCTGCTTGTAATATTTCCCCCTACTAACCTTTAGTTCAAATTTTTTCTGCTTTAGTTATAAGAAGACTCAGGAAACCCTGTCCCAGGCAGGACAGAAGACTTCAGCTGCCCTTTCCAATGTGGGCTCTGTTATCAGCCGGAAACTTGGTGACATGAGGTAAGCTCTCTGGATTCCAGTGCTAGAGTGAAAGTGGAACAGGGCTCACAAAGTTGAGAGCAGTTAAACATCTGGAATTCATGACTAGGTTTTTTCCATTTTCAGTTCTGTACATTGCAGTTGATTAGCAAAATGTATCTGATACAACTGTTCCATGTGATCCAGGATATAGTGCTCAGGTTTTAATACATAATTTTTAAGCTATTTCTGGTCACAGCTCTATTTTCACCAATCCTTTCTCCAACACTTTCTCTAACAGTGTTCTGAAAGATCTGGCTTTGATAACTCTTATTTCAATTTTCAGCAGTTTCCAGAACATTTAAATACCTGATTCTCTTGTTCCGCAAACTGATAACATATTGTAGTCTTCCTCATACTGGGAAGAAGTACCTTATTGTTCCATTGCAGCTCATTCATCCTGTTTCAAGTAGTGGTGTTGAAAAGATTTGAGAGCCTGTTCTGTTCTTCTGCAGGAAGATGGAACTCTATTTTAATGCCAGCATAAATCATGAGAAAATGGAGTCTAGCCCTTTGGCTCCATCACAGATGTAGAGACCTTCAAGTTGGAGACAACTGGACTTGTAATATTATGCAACAAAGATAATATGCATCTGTAATATTACAGGTCAGTCTGGGCACTGCTAACAGTTAAATCAAGGCTAATTGCACAAAACCCAGGCTACTTATAACCCAAGACTGGGGTCCTTCCCTGTAAGGCACCAAATAGTCACACAGAGCACTACAGCTGACACCTTAGCCAGCAAGAAACCTCACAAGCAAAGTCCCATAGACACCCTGGCATTCCCTGTGCCACAGTCAGACCGTAGGCAGGCAAGAGGTTATAAAATCCATTCTCACCATAGCCATACAGGATCTCTCAGTCCCAAAAGACTAGCCACAGTCCCAGGTAAATTTTTTCCTCGAATCTTACCCAATAGAGCATACTGTGCCAGTCCTTTAGAAACTAAAATCTAAAGGTTTATTAATAAAAGAAAGAAAAGGTTGAGAGTGAGATTGTTACATCTCTGCTAAGAGCTTGCATCAAGAATTTGGTCACTGATGTACGTAATGGATTCTCTAACAAACTGCCAACTTAAGTCTCTGGTGTACATCCTATGTCAGAACAGGTCACCAAATCCTTGTGGGCCCTCTGTCCCCACCAATGTTGCTTCTGGAGCAGAGGGCAGGAGTGAAGACAATATGGAGGTGCCCTCATGGTACTTCTATAATCTTCCCACGCAGAGAGAAAATCCATTCCTTTTCTGGATGCTGGTGCGTCCCAAAACGGGCTGATCGCATAATCCATGAACCAGCTTCTACCCATTTTAGTCCAGGAACCATGTAGTCCGCAGGTGTGTCCTCCTCAGGCTAGGGGCCATTATGTGCGCCTCAGGTGTCAATTGGTGACACCCAAGAGCCATTATCCGTGCAGTATTGAGCAACTGCCCCTCCCAGCAAAGAACATGTAAAATATAAATACAAAGCCCATATTCGTAACTTTGCACACACAGATTATGCAAGTATGTAAGTAGCTTAGACAGTGTCAGGGTTTGGGGCAAACACACACTAGTGGGTGCAACAATGATCTACCTACACTCATTAAAATCCAATAACATGAGAGCATCAGTTCTCTGCAGTATGAAAGTTAACATTCCTTGCTAATAAGCACAACTATCTAGCATAATGGGGAGTGGATGTTTGGAGAGGGTGGGGTCTAATAGGGGAAGTGACTCAGTCCATGTGTTCATTACTGATGTGGACTAGACCAGTGGCTTTCAAACTTTTGTGTTGATGATGCTTTTCTCACAGCACACTCCTGAACATGACACTCCCATATAAATTAACACTTTTTAAAATATATTTAACACTGTATTATAAAAGGTGGAGGTTGACATTTTATGACCCCCATGTAATAACCCTGCCAGCCACTTGGGTCATGATCCCCATTTGAGAACCCCAGGGCTAGACCTTGATTCCTTTTCATGTTCAGTGACTACAGAGATCTCTGATATTCATCTATGAGTCCACTAATTTGATGAAAGAGAACAGGAAGAATTTCTTAAAGCTCTAGAATCACTGTAGCTTTCCCCAAATTCTCATATCTTTAGATGCAAAAACTAATATTAAAGTACTGCATAGATTTTTAGACACTTGTGTTAGCTGCTGTACCAGCAAGGCTGCTACTGTCTCACTGTGCAGTGGAAGAGGTAGCTCCTTGGACAGCAGGAGATGGCTTCAATAATTGTGGGTAACACAAAACCAACTATACTTGAGCTGTTTTTCACTCTAGGGCATGGGGAATATATAACCTCATAAATATTTCCAGTGACTTGAAGTTGGTATAACCACTAAAATAATCTAGTAAGGAATTACAGCATTCCCATATATTCATGTGCAATCAATTCAGGATTTCACTAAACGCCATCTAGTGTTGGTTTGGCCTAGTTGTGAGGGCAGGAAGTGTAGCAGTCAGTAAAAGGCCTATGTCCAAGGGACACTAACAAAGTAATCTAGTTTCTTTTTGAAGTCTGTCAACTAAACTATGAGAATGTTGCAATTCACTTTCTTCTGACATTTTTTTCTAGCATTTCATTTGGCTTGGATAGCTAATTTAGTCAGTTTCTAGTTCTTACACTTTTGCGTTCATAGCTTTTCAAAGGGAAAGTTCTAAGTTAATAGTCTTCGCTGAACTAAGACAATTCCTAAGCAACTGAATTTGGCAATATCTGTAACTCAGATGTGTCAAAAGGAAGTGTGCAAATCTTGATAAGGTTTAGCCTTCACTTCGGGCTTAAGGCCAGGTAAGAACTAGGATTCAGATTGGTTTAAAAAAATCCTCTAGATTTTAGCTGTACTTTATGAAAAATTATCCTTTTGGCCTTGTATGTGTGCTTATTCTGATCTAGGTACTTATGTCACACCCATCAGTGTATGGTGCCAAACAGGGAAACCAAATCATAAGGGTAGATTTGAGTCAAGGGATCAAATGGAAATAATTCAAAGGCCTTCAGATGAACAATTGGAGTTTTGGATCATCTCTAAATATCATTATTGCCTGTGCTTGAGTATTAGTGGCCTTGATCTGGCAAGGCTGGCTACTAAACACAATCATATTTAGTCCAGAATCTTAATGTAAAATTAGTATCTACTAATTGTAGAGCATAAGCCTTTCCGGGGAGGAAGGAGGAAAAGAGCACAGGATGACTTCAGCCAGTGCTAATAAACTCCATTACATGAACATTAGTCCCAAGGGAGTTAAATTATGTGGGTTGTATAGCTTTAGAGGAAAAAAACCTTTGCAGACAGGTTCAGTGCAAAAGCATTGTGATAATCAAGGTGTCTGCACCAAGAACAGCAGAAACTCACTTACTCCATTCTGTGCCAGAACTGTTTTACATGGGCTGAACTTAATGGAGAGAGAAGATCTGTTTGAAGTTAATTAATGAGTTTACAGAAAAGAGATCCCATAAAATACAGTATTTAACTTTTCTCCAGAGTTGTTTGCAGGGCACCAACTCTTATCCTGGACTCTGTGTACTCTAATACCTAATTTATTAAAATAACTTTTTATAAAGAGCAGACTCTTTAAACATTGGGCAGTTTCTTCATCATAGTTCTCATTCTTCCCAGAGATTCTCCTTTTCCTATGTGGCTGGGAATACCCAGGTGGTAAGCATTTGATGTAATCACTGATCGCATAGTGCTGGATATTCCAAATAGACAGAGTTGCACACAGCATTCGTTCCTGGAATAGCAAATATTAGTGCACCTCTTCAGTAGCACCCAGCTTGTGTGAATTTGGCAGAGAATTAGTCTTGTTTCTAACCTTTCTAGTGTGCATTTGACTCATCTTTCCTAGTAACTGCCTCTGCATTTTTTACAAATCTTTTCTTTCTACTATTTATTTTAAGGCTATGGCAGACTGAAATAGGCACAATGTGGTTCCTTTTGCCAACGTCATAAGTGTATATTAAATGTGGGGTCTAGTCCTTTAGAATGCTATAACCAAACATCGCAGCTGTGACAAAGTGTGTGAATTCTGTCCCCTTTGAGCCCATTCACTTAACTGATTGGAGCATTTGTGCTACCACTAACCTGGCACAACTAAATCACACACATGCTCTTTGTTCGGCAATGTGAACTTGTTAGTTCTAGACTTAACTCTTTAACTTTAAATTTCTTAGAACAGTGGCAGTGTATCCACATCAAAATAGATAGGCTGTACAATATTAATTCATCAAGAAAAAAGTCTAGTAAAAGGTACACTGTAATTGTAATTGAATTGTCTACCTACACCTGTGTCATTAACGTTGTCAAAACACACTATGTTCATGCAATTAAGACTTGGAAGCCAAGGTGGGGAGTCTGTCTACAGCTTCTCTGTCTGTCAGAAATATATAACACAATTTAAAGCATTATTTAATAAATCCACAGCAAATCCTACTGAGTTATGGCCCTATAGTGGAAAACTAATGAAAGTAACCTTTGCTGCTTTCCCATGAAGATTTAATAACTCTTCTTCCAGTCTTCCTCTGTTCTGCGGGTAAACCTGGATTGCTGTTTGTACTTTGCTGCAGTTTTCATAGAAAAAATACAGTCCTAAGACTTTGCTCCAAAAATATCAACTGAATCTCTATTCAAAGTCTTCAATAGCAACATTCCTTCCAAATAGAACTGTAAATTGTTGGTAGCTGTGATGTGATCAGAGATTACAGTGAGCTTGGTTTCTTGCAGTGAATAATTTTCCTCTGAATGTGTGAGATGTTGCTTGCTTTCAATGACTGAATGCTAGTGTAACTCACACACCTTGTGTGGTTCACTGTCCCATGTAGTGATACTTAGGCTGCTTAGAGATAAAGAACAAAGGAACTCTGCAGCCTAAGATGAGAGCCAGCTGGCTTTACAGCTGGAGCTGGAGTGACTCCAATACTAAGCTCCAAAGATCCCAGGTTCAAATCTGCCCCGTTGTGGTTACACTAGCCTTCAATGTTGGTAATTAGAATGTTCATGTGTCTTTTTCTCTGCCCCTTCAGATGAGTACTTTCCTTCTAAAAAAGCAGCCATTTATCTTCCCATCTGCTGGAAGTATTGAGGTAACAGCAGGAGACACTGCAGGCTGTTTATCATCAGCCTTCGTTAGCTGCTAAAAAAAATGCTAGAAATGGTCAATGACAACATAAATATGCAGAATGTTTGGTCACAATTCCTTTGTAAAACATGTTCATATCATGATAGAACCACTACAGAATCAAAATAGCTTGGGAGACCTCTCCAGTATATCAATTACTTGCCATACTTTGCTCAAATCTAATAGCTTTATAATTCACCGTGTTCAGTACCTACGCTGTGGTTCTTGAAGATGTCTCTAAGAGACTAATGCTTCAAGTTACCTTGGTACATCTTCCCAGCCCCCTAATCTAGTCCATATGGTGACTAGCTTAATTAATGGGAGTGGGTGTTCTGCAAGTTTTCTGCAGCATTGCTGTTAAAGCTACGAGTGCCTTAACCAGTTTAGCTTTCTCTGTTTCTGCATTCTTCTATGATGCAGGTCTGATGTATAAGCTTAGGGATTCTTACCTTAAAGTGTTTTACTGTAGTGTATGGTTCTAGTAAATGAAATCTTAGTGGAATGCCCTCTTCCTCATTAGAGAGGATAACTTTCAGAATGTATATTTTCTAATATACATTTCATTTCCATGTTTGAAGGGGTCTATGCCGCTGTAGGTACTACTGCAAGCAAATTAATTATTAAATGTTATCTTGAGTTGATGCTGGCTGGCTGCAGAACAGCTTCTGAATGTGTGCAACCTGGAGACATTTTATCAAAGAAGGAAAAGGGCTACAAACAGCACCAGTGGATCTTCAGAAGTTCAGTTTCAGATGCTAAACCAGCTTGAGCCATGCTTGTGGTAATACATACAATGTTGGAAGTGGTGCATGAGTTTATGTATATTGTCCAAGTTAATTTTTACAGGAGCGAGTTGCAGAAACTCCCACTTTCAAACATGCAATAGACAATATTCTGGCTCCGGCTCTGGTTCGGGCTCCGTCTATTGAAGAGATGGCCTGAATATATGTTTGGAGTGAAGCCACAAAGCCTGACTAATTGAGTGTTTACACTAAACAAAGCTTCTTGTTCTTCTTGGCAAGCTTTATCTGAAGTATGTAGTAAGACTACTTAGTTTGCTACTGCACCACAGTGCTGCAAAGGTGATGTTCTGGCAGCTATATATTTAAATAAACTAAAATGGAAAAAGAACTGGGAGTAGCAACAGTAAGTTCATTTTACACCATCTCCATGTTCTCTTCCTGCCTTGGACTCTTTTGGCAACATGTAGCCATAGTAGAAGCTGTCACGGGCATAAGTGGGGTAGATTAGTCTTGGCAGGTGGGACTTGGCACCCAAGAATGGGTGGAGGACAGTTTGGGATTGTGGCATAAATGATTGGAGAGGTGAACAGTTCTTGTCATTGTGTGCCCACCAGCCATGTCTATGGACTCAAGAAGAAAACAGTGCCATGGCTTTCATTTGTTTCCTGGAAGGAGTGTTCACAACAGCCAGGCTAGAAACATTTATCTTAAATGAATTAGGGTGTGGCCACTGTAAGGGAAAGAAGTGAGTATTGCACTGTTTGCTAATAGGGATGTTAGTGTATGACATTCGATAGTCCCCGGAGGTGAGGCCGGCAGCCAGTGCACTGCTGCCCCACTTCCGGG